TCAGGTCGAGACCCCGATGAGGACGACGAGCATGCCGATGAGCTTCCCTGAGACGGTTTCTGCCAGTTTGTGCAGAAATTCTTTGGTTATGCAAACCGATTGTTGCAGCAGCTGTCCGGGTGGCTGGTCTCAGACGATCTTGGAGGTGAAGATGCTGGATGTGGAGGTCCTGGGCTGGTGTGGTTACAAGTGGTCTGCGGTTGTGAGGCCGGTTGGATGTACTGAATTCTCTGAAACGCCTTTGGAGACGGCTTATGGTAGAGAAATGAACATTCAATTCACGGGCAACAGCTCTGGTGGACATTCCTGCAGTCAGCATGCCAATTGCATGCTCCGTCAAAACTTGCGACATCTGTGGCATTGTGCTGTGTGATAAAACTGCACATTTTAGAGTGGCCTTTTATTGTGGCCAGCCTAAGGCACACCTGTGCAATAATCATGCTGTCTAATCAGCATCTTGATATGCCACACCTGTGAGGTGGATGGATTATCTTGGCAAAGGAGAAGTGCTCACTAACACAGATTTAGACAGATTTGTGAACAATATTTGAGAGAAATAGGCCTTTTGTGTACATAGAAAAAGTCTTAGATCTTTGCTCATGACTCATGAAAAATGGGGGCAAAAACAAAAGTGTTGCGTTTATAATTTTGTTCAGTGTATATTATACATATATATATTCCAGGAAAAGAAGACGAAACACAATTCAGTATGCATTGATTTAAATAAAGAATTTAATTATTATGTTGATATCATCATGATCAGTTACTTTTTAAATGTTAAACATTCTATAACCTTTCAAATTAAAATTTTACATTTCCTAAAATTATGATGTTTACAAATTAATAAATTGTCAATAAGTAAACCAATCCATCTTGTGTTATCTACAAAACAATGTTTAAACATTGCAGTGTTTCAGGCTGAATAAATAGCAGAAGTTTATTAATCAGAGACAGGAATTTATATCAAACCATAATCAGAACGTTTGAGGATATACTGTAATCACACTCACAGGTGTGCGCGGTCACACGTAATGTTTTCTCTTACCAAACATTGTCCACCAACAGCACCGAGCCATCTGGCATCATTGGTAAGTATGAAGCATTGAAGTTGGGAAGGATCTTGATGTCACGCACACACACTTCCTCTTGAGAACTTGCATTTAATACTGAAACAGTCAGATGTTCAAACATACATAAACAGGACGTCTATCACACAAAGATACAGGAAACCACAAAAATAAAAGAGATGCACTACAGCACTACAGAACTACTGCCTATTTCTAGCACAAATTATGACTACTGATGTGCTTACACTATAGCAGTGGAGACAAAAATCTATGTTTGGGACTTTTCTAGCCATGAAGCAGCTGAATGAAACTGAACCATGTACAAGTCCTCTGTTTTCTCATAAATGCATTAAAATGTTTTGAACATAGTTGACAGATTTAAAGAAAGGACATCATAATAAAGCCATACAAACATATCCAAGCATTCTCCCTTGAACACTGGGTGGATAAATATGGGAATAATTACTTCTATAATGAGGTATAAATGTCTTTCTTCCCTCCCTTACATTAGGACCACCAAGGACCTATTATATCATAATCAGAAGACAAACAGACACTCGTAGTTATGAAAAATTCACAAGAGAGGCTTCTATTTTGAAACTGAGATTTTAGGACAATGAGAATCACAGTTACATTGATAATTAAAACACCTGCATGTCATGATAAACATATACCTTTCAAAAGTTTGGGGTTGGTAATATAATGTTTTTGAAAGAAGTCTCTTATGCTCACCAAGGCTACATTTATTTGATCAAAAATGCGGTAAAA